CATGGTTGTTTCTCTTCCCCCCTCTCTCTTTCCCCCTCCCTCCCTCCCTCCCTGCCACCAGGATGAAAGCATTGTCCTCCGCCTTTAATTCCCTATCCAGTGTTCCCTTTATTATTTGGTCCTTATGGCTTTGAGCACTGGGAAAGAAACACCTTCTGGAGCCACTGGTAGCTATTTCGAGTGTCAGGCTGAGCTCAGAACCAGCAGCCTAGGATAGTGGGTCACAGGCTTTCACCAGGGCAGCCACTTAAAAGTGCAAACTCCAGACCCCACCCTGCAAATCTGGCGCAGTGTGTGCCTGGCAAGAGGCTCAGGACCTGCCTTCTGAGCAAGCTCCCTGGGGGCCCAGGACCAGGCTTGCAGAGCCACAGGCATGGATTTGAACAGATGAACCATAAAGAATTTAAATAAAAGTAGCAAATCAGCTCCCAGAACCGAGGCAGCAGCCTGTCAGGACACCTGGCCAGGTGCCAGAGGGAGCCTGACAAGGAGCTTTCCCCTCCCTGGGTTGCTGTCCCTCAGCCGGCCTCGAGCAGATCCCAGGTGGGGGTCCTGAGGGGCACAGTCTCCTCTTCCCAGCAGTGTCTCCCGAGAGTGGCTCAGAGGGCGGAGGCCTGTCCAGCAGCAGAGAGATGCCAAGTGGAGGCAGATAAGGGGGGGCAAGCCTGGGGGGCAGGTGAGAGCTGGAGGGCTGGGCAGGAACCCAGGCTGGGTCAGGACAGCGCCCCTCAGTCAGACCTTGGTTTGCTTAAATATTTTGTTCTCTGTCGAGGTGACCAGTTGTGTCGTGACCGTCCCTTCTGCCCCTTTGTCTCCCTGCCAGTACAAGCACAGTGGCAGATGCCTACCGCTGGCTCAATCACACCGTGGGCAACAGGACCGTGGTGGAGGACGGCTACTATTATCTCAATAATTTTGACAACATCCTGAACAGCTTTGGTGAGTGCAGAAATCTCAGGCGGGACACTCCCTGGGCCTTTGTCACCTCAGGTCCCAGAGGTGGTAGAGCAGGGCTGTCTGTGGCCTGTCCCTCCAGCACCCAGGATCTCTGGAGAGAGGCCACTTGAAACTGACTTTGAAAGAGTGGGTCTGATCACGATCTTTTTCTTTCCCCTTCCCTTTGGCAGTGACCTTGTTTGAGCTCACAGTTGTCAACAACTGGTACATCATCATGGTAAGGACCTCAGTCAGCTCCCGGGGGGCATCTTTCCACCATCCTCTGAGGCCAGCTCCGGGTCTCCCCTGGCCCAGTGTGGGGTACATTGCTCTCCCCATTCCCTGCAGAGGGTAACTTCCTGGAGCACAAAGGGTTGGCGATCTACCGGGGGGCCACCATGGGGGCTCAGGGGCCACCCCTTGGCTGGACTTGGCTTTTGTCCCTGCTCCCCACACATCCCCCCGCAGCCAGGAGATGCCAGTCAGCCTCTGGTCTGTGTCCTTCTGCTCCACCATGGGAGAGACTTTTCAATCCAGAAGCATTGTGGCAGTGGTCGTTGTTGGGTTTTATTTAAATTCCTCAAACTCTTCCAAATGCCATCCCTGCTTGGGACAGACTGTTAGTCTCTGGGACCATTCAGGCCTATGCAGCACAGAGGAATTTTTAGACCCAAGGGACCAAGATCCCCCTCCTGTGTCTCCCACAACCAAAGGCAAATCAGGGACGGTTCTGTGAAAAGCCTGGCCGTGTAGGGGCCATGGAATAGCCCCAGTGGACAGTGACTCCCCCCCACACACCTCCCCCCCAGGCAGTTGCTCACTGGCTGCTTCCCTGTGTCTCCAGGAAGGTGTCACCTCCCAGACCTCCCACTGGAGCCGCCTGTACTTCATGACCTTTTATATCGTGACCATGGTAGGTCCGGGGCCACAGGTGCCCGACCTGAGTCCCCAGCCGCCCCTGCTCAGTGGGCAGCAACTCGGGGGAGGGAGGACAGGGCCTGGGACACGTCTGAGCGGCTCTCCTGGTGGGTGGGGGGCCCCGAAGCAGCTCACACCCCCCCCATCCTATCTCTCTAACTCCCCTCTCTGCCCACCAGGTGGTGATGACCATCATCGTCGCCTTCATCCTCGAGGCCTTTGTCTTCCGAATGAACTTCAGTCGCAAGAATCAGGACTCAGAAGGTCTGTGCAGGGAGCAGGAGCATTGGCTGTCCAGCGGTCCGCTTATGGGCTGTCTGACAGCTCAACTTATGTATGTGGCTTATCTTTCGGGATCTCTCATTCCCGTTGATGTTCAGATGTTTGACGACAGACACATGCTCTTGATCTCATTTTTAAAATAGAAACGATACATGTCACAGTTTAAGAAAAATCACAGAGCAGAGCCAGGCTTCTTGTGGGCAGAGCAGCTGTCCTGCCTCCCAGAGACTTCTCGCTCTTGGCTTTCTCCACGTTTCTAAGTAACATGTTCCCACCACGGTTCTGGACTTACAGGGTGGGAACCCTGCGGACTGCAGAGCCCATAGCGCTTCCTCTGCAGCTTGGTGATCCCGGCTCTCACAGCTGCCTCGAGTCTCCCAGGTTGCATAGCTTTCTGCACCCTGGCCCTCCATTCTCTCCAGATCCTCCCTCAAGACTGCCACATACCTGTTACTGCTTGTTCCCAAGTCTCTGTCGTGTCAGGCTGGCTGACCCTTTTCTTTTTGCTCGGAGACTCCCTCCCGAAACCCTCTGTCCCCTGCAAGCCGCTGGCCTGACCGTGGATCCTCACCCCCACAGCAGAGGGAGGGGAAGGGGTGAGATGCCCCACGGCAGGCAGGAGAAGGAGACTTAGGACCCCCGCAGGGGCAGCGGGAGGATGGTTAACCCAGCACAGGCCAGAAGGCGATTCTGAGCCCAGGCTCCCTGCCCCCCCGTAGTTGACGGTGGCATCGTCGTCGAGAAGGAAATCTCCAAGGATGAGCTGCTCGCTGTCCTCAAGCTGTACCGAGAAACGCAGGGAGCGGCCTCGGATGTCTCCCGGCTGCTCAAGATCCTCTCCCAGATGGAGAGAAACGAGGTGAGGGGCCCGCCTGGGGAGGGCAGGCTGTAGCTGAGTCCCTCCCCCACCGTCCATCCTTTCAAGTTTTGGCGACACTTTTGGGTGGCGTCGTAGCAAAAGCCAGAGGAGCGGGCCAGGCCCGTGCGGCGGGTGGGTGCCAGGGCCCGGCACCGTGGAGCCTGCAGCCTCCGCTCTTCCACAGCAAACCACCGTGGTGTTTCTGGGACGGAGATCGAGGACCAAAAGCGACCTGAGCCTGAAGATGTACCAAGAGGAGATTCAGGTAGGGGCGCCCCTGACCGCGCCCCAGCCAGGCACTCGCCTGGGAGTGGCCCCCCTGCTGCCGAGCCAGGGCTGCGCTCCGGCCCCTCCGTGCATCAGCGAGCGGGAAGGTTGGCGGGGAGAGGCAGGATCACAGGCTGGGACCACTACCAGTGGTGCCCGGATTCAGGTTTGGGGGTGCCTTCGGGGCTCAGCCTTGAACCCCTCACCCCGTTCCCCTGGGTAGGCGCCTCCCGTCTGGTCTTTCACGTCACGGCCACTTGCGCCTTCTCAGAACCTCGGCTTCCTGCTCTGAAGTGCGCACAGTAGGAGACATAACAGGCAGAGGGAGGGGGGCCGCGGCGAGCAGGAGGGAGGACATGGCCTCTTCCAGGTCCAGCGGACGTGGCCCGTAGGAACGAGGTGCTGTCCTTCCCTCTGGCCTCTGCCTCTCTGTCCACTCCCGGCCTCGGTTTCCCCTCCGTAAGATGAAGGGGCACAGAATTAGGCCATCTTGGTATTTTTTTAAGCTCTAAAGTTCTGTGATTCAGATTCTTTCAAAACATGGTGTATTTTTTAATTCCTTAATCACCTGAAAAATGTCAGACGACGGCCGTAGGCAGGTGAGCTGTTTAAATTGTCTCAAGCTGCTCTCACAGCAGCGTTGGAGGGAGTCAGAAGAGGCCCCTTCACCGCTGGGTGGGGCTGACAGTCCCCCAGCCCCTGCGGGCAGAGCAGGCCGGGGAGGCGCAGGGCAGCTGGAAGGGGTGCAGCCGGCTCAGCCCCGTCCCCCTGTGCTCTAGGAGTGGTATGAGGAACACGCCCGCAAGCAGGAGGAGCAGCTCCACGACAGCGACGGCCACCTCCCCGCCTCCCAGCAGCCCCTGGGCAGCCGCCAGCGCTCCCAGACCATCACCTAACCCAGCTCGCGAAAGCCATCTCTTCTATGCAATAACACAATAGTATTATTTTCCTACGATGTATCGAAATAATATGTGTGTATATACATATGCACATATTCATATATATGCACATATTTATATGGAGACAAAGGAGAAGACAGACAAGATGGGGTTCGGTTTGTAACCACCTTGCCCCATTTTCCGGGACCATGGAAGTCAGTGTGCTCTGGGGGGCAGTCGGGCCCCTAGGAGCTCTTCCTAACAAAGCTCCGGAGGGATCTCCCCAGGCCACACCCACACGCAGAGGGGCTCTCGAGAGGCTAACTTCCCCCAGGGCCCCGTCAGGGTTTCTGTCTCTTGCTTTAGGGACAAAACCACTTATGAAGAAAAGAACCCACGTCCTCGGGGTTCATGTTTCGTTATAGGGTAATGTAATAGGGTGGTGCTTTGGGGGACCTGTGCCTGGGAACTGAAAGAGGCCTACAGGGTGAGATTGTACCAGGTGGTCAGGTCTCAGCCCGTGTCATGTCCTGGCTCTGTGAGCCCTCTGTCCCACATCCCTTTCGGTTTGGTTTCTACTCTCGTTGCTGAAAATCCTAACGTGGCCTGGTGTGGACCCCAGGCCCAGCACAGGGAGGAAAGCCAGTGAGAGGCCAGCCGACAGCTGCCGCCCCGGGCCCATTCCTGCAACGGGCTTTCTCCACTAAGTCCCTTCTGCTTGCGATTGTCCTGTCCAGGCAAAAAGACATGCTGGTTAATTCAGGATTCTGCTGGAGACGACACTGATCCTTCACATGTGTGCATTAGGTTCCGCTGCTGGGACCCAAGTGAAGAGCCGATGCCCCACAGGCCTGTGGCCGAACCCCAGGGTCTCACTGGGTGGGGTGGTTGGTACAGAAGCAGGTTCGAGGGAACCCACAGTTCCCCTGGTAGCATGGGGAGTTCTCCGAGATCAGTGTGATCAGGGCAGGAC